ACTTGTCCTGTCTCATCCTGGGCAATGGGGAATGCCAGGAGACCATGGACCAGCAGAGATGAGGGTACACTGGAGTTTTGCAGGTCAAATTGAGTTAATCCATCCAGGAGAATTTTCAGAGCTTGTCCATTATCCTTGCAATTCCTACAACATAAAATGTATTTTTATAAAAAGTTATTCCAAGTTACCATAAAATTCCATTTCACAATTTAATTTACATAAACAATGTAATAACTTACGGAGTAAAAATTGGTTGCAGTGGTATTTTCTGAAGAACAGGAAAGGAGCCCTTTTCCCCATAAGTGTCGGTGAATGAGATCCCAGCAACTCTGGTTATTTTATTTCCAGGAAATGACTGAAGATCATGCTCCTTGTGACCGTAAGACCAATGCCATGCCTGACCTCCAATGAGGAGCCCACCGCCCCCCTTTAAGAACTCCACCATCTCTGCTGCTTGATTATCAAGGTAGGCATCGCAGCAGAAGACACCCACAGAACCATCAAATTTAGCTAAAGACTTGACATTGAATCCGTTCTTGGATAAATGCTCAGTAAGGCAAGGAAGCTTATGTAGACCCACCCAAGAATCTGGCTGGGGTAGAAGCCAGGAAACAGCATTCTGAAGAAACTGACCAAATTCTGGTTCTTCCATGTATGCCTCATGAGCTATTACCACAATCCGACCTTTGCCATATTGAGAAGCTGCAATAAGGACGTGGCCTGAGGGACTCACAGCCACCGGCACAGCCATGTCACTGGTCAGCCGCAGTTGGCATGGCACACTGGTACCACCAAAACTGAATTTGTTGATCTTCTGGACCAGGAAATTGTAAATAGCATTGGCATCCATTTTTTTTTAGTTTAGATGTTAATAATATATATATCCAGAGTGAAGTTCTTATCCTACAGGGAGATGGAAGAAACATGCTGAATTATATAAAAGAACTATTTAAAAAATACCATGTTAATCCCTAATAAACTGATGTAATTCATTCAAGCAAGCAGAAAAAACACTCAACAGATGTGTTGCCCGCTTGTGGTCTCATGTGGAAACATGATGTCTTTTTAATGGATGAACTTTGCCCATAATTACTTCCATTAACTGTGCCAGGTCTGTTCTGGTGCAATGAACATGTTTACGTTTACTATGGAATACTGACAATTCTGACAATAATACTGTTCTTACCCAGATGAATACCAGTACAATGAAGACCCCCGTATTCTTGGTTTCATTAACCGCAGTTTCAGTTATCTGCAGTTTACCACGGTCTGGAAAAAATGGGAAAATTTCACAAATAAATGGTTCATAAGTTTCAAACAGTGTGGAAAGTGGGGACAGGCTGTAACATGATGAAATCCATCAGCCCACTCGTGCTCAGTACATGACTCTCTTTGTCCCCAAACACAGGCTTCCCTGCAGAAGTCTCTTCCAGTCCACCTGTAGTTCTTGCGGATCACAGTCAGTGCTGCATTATTGCAGTGTATGTGTTAACCTTTACCATATGTAGGTACACGAAAATCACATTGTGCATGGGATCCGTGGATGGTTCACTATTATCTGCAGTAGGTCTTAGAGTGTATCATCCACCGATACAGGAGGACGACTGTATAGAGAAGATATCCATAGATCTCACAAATATAACCCAATCCACAAAGGCTAGTTCCTATATTTATTTATCATTACATACCAAATATTAAGACTGGGAAAATGTCTTAACCCCTGCGCAGGTGTCCTCTCCCCTTCTGGGATCGAAAATTTTGGGGTGACGGTCATGGCGACCGGTCAGAGGGGGTCGGGCAGTGTTGGACCTCCCTGGGGCCAGGGACTGGTGGTGCATGAACTGGGTCAGAGACCAGGGAAATTGGAATTGGAGGGACAGGAACCTGGCGAACTGGAGTTGGAGGGACAGGAACCAGGATGGGCTGAGCAGGGATGTGCCGAGCCGGAACGTCAGGTGCTGGAGCAGGATCCTTCAGTGTGAGTGGAGCTGGGGCCGGGACATCAGGCGTGGGCGGAGCCAGGACTGGAGCCTCTGTGGGCAGCGCATCATCCGCCGGGACTGGATCCTCTGTGGGTGGCGCATCAGCTGCCGAGACTGGAGCCCCGCAGGGTGGCAGGGGGCGCTGCAGGGACCTGGGACACAGTGGGAACCTCTGCGGGCAGTGGTGCAGAGACCGTCGGCTCTGGAACTGCCGGGAAGTCAGGCAGGTTGGGCAGGCCAGGAACATCAGGCAGGTCAGGTACATCAAACACAGGCAGGTCACGAACGACAGGGAGGTCAGGAACGACAGGCACGTCATGAACCACAGGCATAACAGCCAGGGTTGGTGCCTTAAGAGCAGGTGTTGCCCCTTTCAGTATCCCATACTGACCTGGCCCCTTTAAGAGCCAGGCGAGTGCCGGAAAAGGGGTGTGCTGCTGATCTCAGTCACATCGCGGCAGGTGGCGGCGGTGAAATGGCGGTGGTGATGTTGTAGCGGGTGAACACTGCTGGGTTCAGGATCGGGGGGGGGGTTCCTCCTAATATCCAGCTGGAGAGGAAGCAGCGGAGATGGAGATGGCCCCCAGGAAGATCGCCGTCTTCCGGTCTCGGATCTCTCCGCTTTTTCCTCCTTCTCCAGCTTGTGGTTGTTGGCGGAGGTTGGATCACATCAGAGAGGTTAGGCGGCTCTGGTAAGGATACTAGCCGGGTCCTCACCTCCTTCACCCTTTCAAATAGCTGCGGGAGATTTTCGCGCACCTCGTTTACAAGGTGACTGTTCCTGGGCGGAGACATCTGCCGCAGGATAGTCATGCTCCGGCTGGCTAAATCCCGTGCCACGGGATCCTCCCGGACCTCAGATTGATTTAGCCAGTATATGACCTCTTGCAACAGACTGAGACGTTGGCTCTTAGTCAGCAGATGTGTGTCTTCAGGGAGTCCTGTCATGCTGTGATGACCGTGTGCAGGGCGAGCGAACAGGAAACGGGGAATCAGGGTCAGTCACACAGAGAACCAAAAACAAGTGGGTTTATTGCTGGCAGAGCACAACACGGTGAAAAGTCTATGACAGGACTGAGGAAACACACTCGAACGTGGACTTGAATACAAGAGACTAATTAGAAATAACATGGGACAGCTGGTCACATCCGGATTTCACACGAGGTACAGTAACGAGGGGGGTGTGGCACACGGAAGGATCGTACGAGCAGGTCATGACAGATGCAGCTCACTATGTGTCCACATGCACTGACAAATGTGGATTAGATATAAGATGTATCAGTCCATATAAAGGTAAGTCCTCATTGACTGAATGCTGCATTTCTAACTAAGTAAGACAAATTATAATTTTGCTCAATCAGGCCGTGGAGTATTTAGCTGTGGACAACGAAATGGAATACAGAGGAGAACTTGTTCCGAAAGATGAAGTGGAAAAAAGACAACCGTATTCTCATGATACTTTAAAGGCTTTTATATTTGAGTATATGTTTCACAGGAAATGGCAGTGGTATTTCACTATGTTCGAACCTTAGTTATGGCAGTTGTGATATTGCACATTCCCAGAATTCACAGCTAAAATCAAACCCTTCAGTAAGTGTGTCATGAGGAAGCTAATTCGTTTTAATTAAATTGTGAAATTGTTTTGTGTTATTGAGGGCTAATATCTTAAAATGAGGACATATGCGGTTACTAAGTGCACTTTCAGTGGTTGTCAGGTTTGTGTTTTAAAAGTCATTTGCAAAATATGTCATAGATGCTTTATTTGACTCATTCAAAATTTTTGTCACAGAAATATATAAAGGGAAAAATTAAGACAATAGCACTAGTTTAATACATTACCATTACTATTTTTGAATACTCTAGTGTGCAAGAGAAGATGGGTCCCTTAACAGGTTTGCCAGTAATGACCAAATAACAAAATGAAGAGCACAACTGTGACTGGGGAGCCCCATCCGTGGTTGTTTGCAATTAAATACATCACTCCAGGAGAGGAGATTACCTACAACTATGGTGATTCAGAGTGGCCCTAGAGACACAAGGTATGACTGCCATTCTCATTTGCTCAGATGTACTTGAATAAGCCAAGTGCTGTACAGGGTTGACATTTGGCTGGTTTAGGGGGCATTAGCTCCCCTAAAATGCCCCCTCCCCCCCCAAATAAATGCACAGTAGTTCAAATTGTGTTGCCTTTTCAATCAGCCCCTATTTTCATAGATCTTTAGTGCCACTCCCGGTGCTGTGTTAGTGCAGTGTCATATTGGACTCAGATATTCACAGTGCAGTGAGGGTGATTTTCGCACAACATATCATTGTATTATTACTGTAAACATAAAAATTGTTTGATAATCAGTAGTTTGTCTTCTTAAACTTCTAGATATTCAGTAGAATTTTGTATAAATGTTGGATAATGTAGTTAATTAAAACGAATTGTATATTATTCAATAAATGGTGAATGTGATATGTTATGTTGTCTTTCTGCCGGATTTTGAAGACCAGGCACCTGTACTTCAGTCTGGTGTTTCTGGGGAACAACCTGACAATGTTAACACAGTTTGTACCATAATAATTCCGACTCATGATTATGTATAATGTGGTTGTGTGTGTGTATGTGGGACAGTAATTTGTAAGGACAGTGTTGAGAAATGTCTCAAAGATGTTTTTGGGCTATTAATCCTCAACATGCGTGTGTATATGTCTGAAAAAAGCTGTTTTACAAGGACCACAGTTATTGTAAGGATTCCCATAGTTCTCCTGTTCTTAGGTTTGTGAGGAGGTTCTAATTCTAGTCCAGTGTGTTTAATCGCCTGTCAGCCCTGATTAAAACCCCGTATTTCTGAAGTTACGGTTGGACTTGCCTGCTTACCCGCTCGCCGGATCACCAAGCATGACAGAATGACTGATCTCTCGAGCGCACCTCCGCAGCTTGAGGACAGCCGCCTCAAGCTGCTGGACAAGGTGCTTTATTAGCTGTCTCAACCTGAGGTCCGTGAGGACCCTGGGCTATGGCAGCTAGCCAGCAAGAGCAGCCGCCTGCTTCAGGAGATGACTCCGCTCACGGGTGCGCACGTAATCGCCGACGTGCGCGAAAACCTCCAGCAGCTGGTCGAGGGATTCATGGAGAGGCAACTCCAACCGCTCACCTTCTCGGAGGCGACCCCGCCTCCACCGACCTGTCCCGGGCGGCGAAAGAAGAAGAAGTGGAGGAAAAGTCGAGAGCAACAGGAAGAAGCCCCGACGCTCTTCTTGGTAGCCTGCTCTCTGTTCCCTGCCTGGGGGTCAGCCAGTCGGCGAAGGAGCTCCCCGCTCACCTGGGAGGACCTTGCTGCTGCCCACCCGGTCAGCCATAGTGAGAACCCGCCTCCCTTGGAGGCTTATCACTACCGGCCAGCGCGCCTGGTCGGTAAGGGGATCAGCGCCGTAAGGGACGCTATTCCCCAGGTCCCTAGAGCCCTTAAAGGGGCAGTTCCAGACCTGCCTGCTCCAGACCTGCTTCCCTGCTGCCGCCGCTCTGCCCGGCTTGCCTGTCCTGCCTGTCCAGCCCGGCTTGCCTGTCCAGCCCGGCTCGCCCGTCCTGCCTGTCTCTCCGGCTGCACCGCCTGCCGCCACCCCCGTGGCTCCGGCTGAACCGCCTGCTACCTCACTGGAGGCCCTGGCTCCTGTCCCCCCAGCACTGGTCCCAGTCCCTGAGGAGGTCCCAGACAATCGGACCCCCGCTCCTTTCTCCTTGGAGGAGGAGGACCTTGAGTGGGACCCCTCGGGGGCCTCCCTTTTGACTCCATCGCCCTTGCCCCAGCAAGGCCGACACCCCCCAGGACCCCGCCTTTCCGTGTCCCGTAAGGGGAGGGGACACAAACATCGGGCCCGGGTCCCACCCGCCCTGCCCCCTGGCTCACCCGTGCGTCTCCTGGCCGTGGCTCGGTGGCTGCCTGTGGGTCCTGCGGCGTCAGCTCGATGGTCGCCTCCGCGTCCCCTCCCAGTGCCTCGATGCCGGTCCTCGCTCCCACCTCCGTGTCGGCCGCCTCTGGGCCCCCCTGCTTCGGCGGGGCATCGGACGGCGCCTTCTCCGGCTTCCCCTTTGCCTGCCATGGCTTCGCCCTCCTGCCTGCCTGCTCCGGTGGTCCCTCCTGCTCCCTCCATGTCCCCTCCGTCACTCCCTCGACCCGTTCCCTTGGCCCCTGTGTGGTCCCCTGCAGCTCCTGCCTCCCTCTCGCCTGCGGCCCCTCCGGCCGCCGCCCGTCTGGGCTCCCTCGGGCTCCCCTTTGTCCTCCGTCCCTTCCTGTCTGGTCTCCCTGGTCTGCTCCTCGTCCCTTTGTCCCTCCTGTTCCTGCTCCTTCTCCTCTTGTTGTGCCTACTTTCACTCCTGGCCCTTTTGTTCTGCCTTTCGATGTTCCCCCTGTGTCTCCCTTTCTAGTCTGTCTGTCTGCGTTTCCAGTCCTTTGTCAGGTCCTGTCGTGGCTTTTGCCTTTGTGCCTGTTTTGTGTTTCCGTTCTGTTTCCTGTGCCCCGGTGATGTCTTGGTTTTTGTCTTTCAGGTCCTGTTCCCTCGTCTCGTCCGTCGCCTCCCCTCGGGCACGCCCGGTGTGAACTTTAATTTCTTAAAAGTCGAACCAACCAGTTCGAAAAAAAAAATTACCTAGAGCTCAATCTGAATCTCAGAAGTCAAACCGTGAATGCCGACCTAAGATAACTTGTACAGTACGAGCGGGGAAATGAGTCACGCAGCACGCCTTTCAGCGGAAACAAAGGATAAAGCTTCAGTCTCAGCCTCGCATTCACTGTGATAGCACCATGCATGTTTACACTAACTGAACACAGTGATACCTAAGTTCTCGAACTCATTAGAACTCGAATTTCTTAAAAGTCGAACCAACCAGTTTGAAAAAAAATTACCTAGAACTCGATCTGAATCTCAGAAGTTGAAACTGTGAACTCCAACCTAAGATAACTTATAGGCGCGGGGAAATGAGTCACACTGCAAGTCTCTCAGCGGAAACAAAGGGTTAGGGTTATGGTTAGTCTCAGTCTGGCATT